AGGGAAGGGCTGAAAGGGGCCAGAGCAAATGGCCTTTTTTTTTTTTTCCTTCCTTCCTTCCTTCCATGGAGGAGGAGTTGTTATTAATAGCAAGTAGCTAATTAATCCATGGAACAATCTCCTTAAGGGGAAACCAGGCGCAGGATGTATTTTCCCTGCAGCGATGGGAGCCGGGTCACGAGGGGGATTTGGGTGTCTAAATTCATGAAACTTTCAGCTGCCTTCCACACAGAACTGGGGGGGGGGGTGTCTCCTCCGTGGGTTGAACACACACATACTTTCCCCCCCCCTCCCTTTCCGAGGGATCTGCATATTATTATGCCTTTGCTCCTCCTGGCTGGTTTTTGTTTTGCTGTTTCAGGTATATCTACTGTGAGGTGCCCCCCTTCCCACCCCCCCTGCCCCCACTGCTTAGTTTTTTTTTAGGTATAAAGCCTTTCCTTGTTCTGTTTCTCTTTGCTCTTGGCAAGTTGCTCCTTGAGTTCGTGGCAGAGATGCGAGGAAGCCTCGGCCACTTTCTCAAGCCCCCCACAAATGGCTCCGGTGTGGCTCTTGCCTGCCTGCCTGCCAGCCAGGCTCTGGCGAGAAGACCCAGCCACGCCCTTAAGCCAGCAGTCACAAAGTAAGCCCAACTTGAGAGGTTTCGAGGGAAGCCTCCCCCAAAGGAGCTTTTGAGGTATCCCTAAATCAGTCCGGCCATTCCCAGGGATGGCGGGGTCTGATTTGAAAAGCTGGTTCCGTCCGTTCTTGTTGCCCGTTGATTGATTGATTTAAGGTTTTTTTTTTTTTTTTTTAAAAAAGACAAGGCCAATCGAGGGTCTTTTGATAACCGAAGGTGCTGTTGTGTGTTTGTGTGTGTGTGTGTTCTACCCACGTATGCCATGCTACGCAGAGGGTCCACTCGGCAAACCGATTGGCTTAAGGGATGGGTGGGGGCGGGAAGGAAAAAGGTTCCAGCAGTTCCATCACTCCTAATGTGATGCGCATCAACCAAAGCGCCCCTCTGCATAGTTGAAGCACCGATGAGTCCAAATGGTTTGAAATCTTTATTGCTCAGTCAGTCAATTCGCTTGATTTTATGACTTCGTAACCAGTTCATTTAATGACCCTTAACCATGCTGAAGAAGTAACCCTTTGGGACTGGCTTGAATGGAACAGGGCTCCGTAGTTTTATATGTAAAAACGATTTTCGTTTGTTAGGTGTTCCTAGATGTGTTTTAAAAAATTTAAAGACGTAGACACTTGAAATGGCCATCACCACATCTCTCTCCTTCCCTTCCCCGCTTTTCTTTTAAATCTCGAACTCACCTCTAGCCTCTTTTAACCACAGGGCATCCCAGTGTCTTCAGATTCATAACAGGTGCCCCAAAAGGCCACTTAAAAAATGGAAAATTGGAAAGGGAGGGGGTTGCTCTTGCTATTGGCAGTAGGAAAATCGCACCTCAAAACTGGCCTGGTGATGTCAGCCCCAGGGTTGGTGAGGGGTCCCTGGCTCCCGGTGTGGTGATGCATTTCAGTCTCTATCCTGCAAGGTAAGGAGCCCGATGTTCTTAACATGATGCCCTTTTTTTTTCACTGCCTCAGTATTTTTATATTTTCACTGGCTGTTAAACGTGGAAACTTTTTAACATGCTTTGTCGCATTTATATGCTACAGGTTACAAAGTGAGATCCTTGTATACACTTCAATACTTAAAAAGTACCCGTATTCAGTACTCAGCCGGCAGCATAATGAAAAGTGGGACTAGACACGGTGTCCATATGGAGAGGAAAAAAAAAATATACATATATATTTATATATATATACACCTAGAATATTTTTAAACCAAATGTGTACAATTGTATAAATGGAAAACCTTCTGTAACTTTGGTAACTGCATATAGTATTTCATGTTTGGTAATGAAACTTAGAGGGGAGGTGTGATAACTTTAGAATTGTGTAAAATTAAAAGTGTAAAACATCTGTTAAAAAGGGAAGGATTACATATATGGTGTATACTTTGGGAACGAAGAAAAGCTGCATGCATCAGCTTTGAATTGTGTTTATTAAATCGTTTATGGGTTAATGATGCAATACTTGCTAACCGTGAACTGTTCTTCTCCCTCCTTTTTTCTTAAATTCACATTCTTGGTAGTTTTCAAAATAATAATCGCCCTACTTCATAAATGAGGCTCTATTTGCCCACAAATTGTATTTCATGATTCTAACGCCCTGCACTAAAAACACAGATCCGGATCTTCATAGAGTTGTGATACGCAAAGTTGCATCCTGAGACCTCAGAATATGGTGTATTCTTGTAAGACCTCCTTTCACAGAGACTGTTAAAATCCAGTACTGAATGTATGGTTTAATGACTTGTCAGCTGCATTGTATTCTAGGGTTTGCTGTCTTTTTTTTTCTTTTTCTTTTTCTTTCTTTTTTTCTTTTTTTTTGCAACTGTTAATGTTAAAAGGTTTTCCATCCAGGAATTTGGATTATTCTCCCTCTTGCAAAGAGGCTGAGGATGCAACTTTACATTTGCAAAACAAGGAGGGAGTTGATGAGAGAACTATCGCAATGTGTCTGTACGCAAGTATATTTTAAAAAAGAAAGGGGGAAGAAAAAAATGAATGAAAAAAGATTCCCCCCCCGCCCCCAATCGTTTCTGCTTCCTGCCGGTAAGCCAAGTATTGCATGGTTAACGTCATTAGCCGTGGAACAGTCCCACTGCTCAAAATGTGGTGTGTCCAGCCCCAGACAAAACCAAAGGTGTGTGTTAACGTGTGTAAAGGAGATTTGAACAAGCTGCCCTGAAGAAAGGCCTAGTGACGAGATGACAGAGACAGACAGACAGACAGACAGATGCAATGTTTTGGATATGTTAGCCAGTGCCCTTCTCCCAGTGAGCCCCAGTGGCTCCAAACGGGACTGGCTTTTTTAAAGGGAAGGCCTTCATTTCTTCGTTTATCCCCCCAGCAGCGCTGGAGAGCGAGGTGGCTTCAGTAAGCCTGGTGGTAAGTTTTTGAGCATTACAATGGGATCGTGTTTTAAAAAAAAATAATTTTTAAAAAAACGCAGCCAGAAAAAAAAATTAAAATAATAATAACATCATATTTTGTTAGCTTCCTGAATGGTGAAAAAATGCCCTATGCAAACAGAACTTTTAATGGGTACTGCCGGCAATGCCTTAATGGGTCTTTAGAAGGTTTTAACCTACGGTGACAGAACAAAAGGGTATTAAAAACGAAGGGTTGATGAGGTGTCGAGAGAAACTAATTGGGGAAGGAAATCCACTTTTTTTCAGAGGCTTTTGGCGTTTTAATAAGTAGTAACCTTGGTAAACTTGGCAACACTGATTTGACCTGGGAAAAAGGCCCCCTGCCCCCGCCCCCTTTGAGCCACCGTGTGTGTAATAATACCAGGTGATGGTTTTAGAAGGCTGCTAAAACTTGCAAGCCGCAAAAAAAAAAAAAGCATAAAAGGGTGTTGCATTGCAAAATGGTTTTTTTTTTTGTTTTTTTGCAGTGCGGTCAATTCAAGTTTTAACCCAACGCCATCTAATCGCGGTTGTAAATAGGTAGTTGTGTGTTTTGTTGGTAGCAGAGCTGGCAAGGCAGGCACTAACAATGGCTTCTGTGGTTTCTTTTTCCCCTCCTCCCGGACGACAGGACACATGGATGACGTGCCAGATCTCGATTTAGGTAACTCCGCTGAGGTCACTGCTTAAAATGTCCCAAGAGGTTCCTCTGCCATCATGGGGGTACCCTCCGCAAAGCAGCTCCCCCTCTCCCATCTGCATCCTGGAAAGCAGTTGGGTCTCTTTTAGTGCCAGGGGTCTCCGGGCCGTGGAATGGCACCAGAAAGGCAACGTGCCAGAAACCGGGGCCATGAAAACAAGCAAAGCCTCATCCGTGGGGATGCAGGCGGCACACGAAACCACGCATCCCCGCCGGGTCCATGGAGAAACCTCCACGGAACCGGTCCCTGGCGCCCAAATGGTTGGGGGCCACTGTTTTAGAGAGCCTGCACCAAATTCCTGCAAAAAGTGCTCTCTGTCTTCGTGTGTTTACTTGCTCTGTACTTGCACCTGACTTGCACCCTGCTGGCTGAAGTTAGATTAAGCAGCCGTGCTATTTTGCAGTAGATAGATGCGGTAGATAGATAGCAGAGAGAGGTGGGTGGATGTAGGTTGGTGGGTGGATAGGTAGGTAGGTATAGAAAGGTAGATACAGTAGATAGATATGGCAGATAGAGGTAGATGGATGTAGGTAGGTATAGATAAAGGTAGGTAGGTAGGTAGATCGATCGATCCTTGGGTCTCCTTGTATAGCCTCTTTGGCTCCTATAAATCAGAGTAGCAACTTTAATACAGTAACCCTGGGTTTAAAAATGGATGGAAAGGGTTGCCCAGGAACAGGTCCTTGGAAAAGCAGGAAGTAACATCCAGTCATTCTGAAGACAGGGTGGCGTAGATATTTGGGGTGACCCATGATTTGTGTTTACAGGCCCACCTCTAGACCTGGATGATGACCTTGATAACAGTTCCGTGTACGTACAGGGCCTGACCGACAATGTGACTCTAGAGGAGCTGACTGACTTCTTCAAACAGTGTGGCATTGTTAAGGTGAATATCAACATGATGCTTTGAGATACTTGGAGCTCGGAGGCGTCAGTCGGGGAAGTCCTGGCTTCCTTGCTTCTCCGTTTCCCCAAGTTATTTACTTGAGCCAGGATCGCTTTCCACTAAAAATGTCGAAATGATGCCCGTTTGTGGACACTTTACTTAAAAATCGGAGCTTGTTGCGATGTGCTAGATAGATAGGCCACACTGTTGGGATTCAATGGGTTTCAGATTAAAGTCTTCCGCACGCCCCCGACATCATTCCGTTGGTCTTAATTTGCAACTGAAATTCACTGTAAAAATGTTCTTTTCCCCAACTTCATTCCCCCAGATGAACAAAAGAACTGGACAACCCATGATAACAATCTATCTTGACAAAGATACTGGGAAGCCCAAAGGAGATGCAACTGTCTGCTATGATGACCCACCCACTGCCAAAGCAGCCATAGACTGGCTTGATGGTGAGTGAGTTACAACACGCCTGTCGCTCCGAAGGGTTTAATCGGAGTTTGCAGAGATTCAGCTGCAAGGCTTGGGCTGTGCTTTGATTTCTGTGAACGGGCAGTCGGAGGTGTGAACAATTCCACCTTGACCAAAAGGCTATGAGATGAAGAGATCTGCTGAAGCCTCAGAAATGGCTACATTAATGTAATGGTGTTGAGAGCTGCCTATCCTCCTCTCTCTCTCTCTCTCTCTCTCTCTCTCTCTCTCTCTCTCTCTCTCTCTCTCGTTTAGCTTTGCCAAATCTAATCATACTTTCTTCCACCTTGGGGAAGGATTGGAAACTTCTGGCCTAGGTCAGCTAAGTGGAGGACTCCTCCTTTCCCTGTTTTCTTTCCTCAGTTGAGGAAGAGACAAGCTCAGGCCAATTCAGACTTTTTACACCTTCCTTTATCCTCCTCCAGGATAAACCTGCCTTAAATTTGAATAGCTCAGGCCTCCTCCTCTTCCTCCTCCTCCTCGCCAGCCACCTGGGTTGTGGCTTTGATGACCCACAAGAACGTTTTCTGCTTCGTTTCAGGGAAGGAGTTTCAAGGAAGCAAACTCAAGGTCTCCATGACTCGGAAGAAGCTGCCCCTGAACAGCATGCGAGGAGGAATGTTGCCCCGGGAACCGCGGGGCATGCCTCCCCCTCTCCGTGGAGGTAACCTTGGGGCACCGGGCAAAACACAAAGCCATCATGTGATGCCCCACCGTGGGTGGGGTGGGGAGTGTCCTTGCACTCACCAGCGGTTCTCTTTCCAGGTCCAGGAGGCCCAGGTGGCCCTGGTGGACCCATGGGTCGTATGGGCAGCCGAGGTGGTGACCGGGGCGGTGGCTTTGCCCCGAGAGGACCCCGAGGATCCCGAGGAAACCCTTCCGGGGGTGGAAACGTCCAGCACCGAGCTGGAGATTGGCAGTGCCCGAACCCGTAAGTCCCTGCCGGCTCTTTCCTCCCAAGCGCGGTGACTTCAGTCTGTGGGGCTGTTTCCCTATTGGAAAAGGGCGAGAATAAAAGCGGGAGCCCTCCTTCAGGATCATTGATCTCCGTATGGTATATTTGTCGCCCCCCTTTTCCACCTGGGCGGAATATACAGGTAGTCCTCGACTTAACAAGGGGTTCGTTTAGTGACTGTCCAAAGTGACGACAGCACTGGGGGGGGGGAGGACCGTTTTCCCCCACTTGCGTCCGTTGCAGCGTCCCCCATGGTCACGGGACTGAAATTTGCATTCTTGGCAACCGACTCGTCTTTATGACGGTTGTGCTGTCGCACGACCCCCTTTCTGCGACAAGCAAAAGTCAAATGAAGCCAGTTCCACTGAACAACCCTGATACTAATTTAATGACTGTTAAGGGTGGCGAGAAAGGTCGACAAAGGGGTCAGCCTTCACCTAACGGGAGTTCCCCTTAACAGCAGAAATTTGTGGGCTCCGTTGTGGTCTTTTTAAGTCGAGGACTACCTGCTGTTCACGGTCACCTGTCTTACCTGCACAAGCCCCTAGCGTCGTCCCCCCCCCCAATCTGCTTTCCTAGAGAAGAGCAAAGGGTGTGGTACGTCCTCTGCAGCGGCTCTCCTGCAAAGATGAGGGGAGGAGCCCTGCTCATCCTTTGCTCTTGGGGGCTTCGGTGGTCTGGATCAGGCCAGCCACCCAACAGCAACCCGTTGTCTCCCTCCCTCCCTCCCTCCCTCCCTCCCTCCCTCCTAATGGAACCCTGGTTCTTTCTAGGGGCTGTGGAAACCAGAATTTTGCCTGGAGAACCGAGTGCAACCAGTGCAAGGCTCCAAAGCCCGAAGGCTTCCTCCCACCGCCTTTCCCACCCCCAGGTATGCCCCTACTGTCTGCGAGCTGGGGCGGGAGTCGGAATATTTGACACTGATCTCTGCTTATGTGATATTCACAAGGTCCTGGATTCTTGCTTGGGAAGCCGCTGCCACTTAGAGGGCTCATATACGGGACCAATAGTGGTAAGGGTACTTGTACAGGTGGTATGTTTTTCCTTCGTTTGTGTATGCGCTTCTAGAAGAGTCAAGGAGGCGTTGGTTCCACACACGCAGTGTAGGGCAGGAGCCAGGCAGTTGGAAGCCCCGACCCCTGGGCGCACGCTCGGACAGGAGAGCCCAGGTAGAGAGGAAGGTGCTCCGTCATTTTGGGAAGGGTATATGTGTGTGTGTGGGTTCTTCCGCAAGAGCTACGCCAGGTTCTGCGGGGCCCGGAAGAGCCCTCCGTGGCTTCCCGTCTCTTGTGCCAACAATCTGTCTCTGTGGCTTCTGATTTAAGACCCCTTCTAGCAATAGACTTACCGTTTTACCGCCCTCTCTAAGCAGTTTACAGTGTCAGCCTCTTGCCCCCCCCCCCAACAATCTGGGGGGTCCTCATTTCACCGACCTCGGAAGGCTGAGTCAACCTTGAGCCGGTCAGGGTGGAACTGCCAAACTCCTGGCAGTCAGCAGAAGTAGCCCGCAGCACTGCACTCTTCACCCCTGCACCACCACGGCTCATTGCAAGGCAGAGGGGGTTGTCTCCAACCTGGCCAGCTTCTGGACTTCCAACTCCCAGAATTCCTCAGCCAGACGAGGGGTCCTCCCACTTAACTGTATTGTAGTCTTCCGTATAGTCACGTGATTTAGGTCTGTGGAGGCCCTTGACAACCGGATTGATTTACGGTGGTCGCAGCTGCATCCTGGGCAGGTGGGAGGGGTCCTAAGGTGATCGCTTGTGATCTTTCCAGGAGGGTGAAGCCTACAAGCACAAGGGAAGCTGGGTTTGCTTAATGACCACTGTGCTTCTCCTAACCACATCAATTCACTGAACCGCCTGTGGCCTTAACCAGGCACAATGCCCACTTAACAGCACCTTGCTTAGCCAGGGAAGTGAGTTGACTTTATTGTCGTTACAGGATTACATGCCATCTTCAGTGCACACGATGACTATAAAGACAAAACCCAAACGCGCAACCTTCCCCTTGAAAGACCCCCTGATAATTGCGTCCAGATTGCCCTATGCAGTAGAATTCAAGAGAGTTCCTCCCTGGGATAGCAGCTGTTTTTCAGCCCCAGCCCCAATGACCGTTGCAAGTCAAGGACCGCCTTGATTACAGCTTCCAGACCCAGCCTTGCTGGTGGGACGGGGTCCGGTTTTTTTGCAATGACCTTGTAGCCTTTTGTAGCCTGGTTAGGAGCCTGTTCAGGCAGCCACGTGGCCGTCCCCTCTTAGTTGCAAGCTGCTTACAAAGGCCCCGTTTAGGGCTGGAGGAATTAAAAGGATATTTTTTTTAAATTGGGGAGACACTTTACTCACTGCCCTGTTTTTGCTTCCTGGCAAACCTTGCCTGAAAGATACGTGTGACTTTCCAGTTTTTCCTCCCTCTTCAGTGTTAAAAGATTCCTTGGAGGTGGGGAAGGCAAGTCAGTTGGGTGCTGGGCACAGTCTGCCTCGATCGACCAGGCCCCGGGGGTCAGCTCCAAGTTGCCTCTGAACTCTCTTTAAGTGTTAGGCTTAAAAAAGGCCCAGCAGCATCCTGGATGTCGGTTTGTCTAGAGCAACTGATGCCTTAAATGCTAGATATTTTGACCTGGGCCTTTGCAAGATCTCTCGGATAGCGTGGTGGTGGTGGTGGTGGTGACGAGAGTATTTCGGTCCTTCGTGCACTAGTACTTTAATCGGGCAAGCCCCCGGTTCCACTTGCATGTAACATGCCCTCCATCGTGGTCCTCGCCACTTCCCTGTGTATGAAGCAACCTCCCATCTCTCCCCCCCCCCCAAAATCCTCCGCTCTGATGAAAATGCCTGCCCCCATTTCTTTGTCCCCGGCCGAGCGGAGCAAACTGCCCCCTTTGCCCCGGAAATGGGTCAGGGGATGCCATGAGCTGCGCCACCACTTGCCGACTTCTCTTTTGAGGCTCTGCAGACCACAGAGCCCCGTGCCTCTTGTTTAAAAAAAAACCCAAACGGCCTTCCTTCTAGAGCAGCGCGTTTCAAACGGGGCAGCTTCTTTTGAGAGGCGTGCTATCAGTCTGCCGAATTTTTTCCCATTCAATGAACAAGAGTGAACTTCTGAAAACCAAACGTATCCAAAGGAATCCTTTACGGAGACGAGACCATTCGTGGAGGAGTTTAAAGCAGCGCCTGAGGTCCCTCCGGCATACAGGGGTAGATAAAGGAGTTTAGAACCCCTCCCCTTATCTCGATGTGTATTTAGTGAAACAAAAGCCAGTATGTTAATTACCCCACCCCACCCCTTCGATCTTTTTCACAGTTTCCCAGGGCATACCTAATTTCCCCCCACCCCCTTTTTAGAACTTTTCCAGAGATTCCCAGGACACGTCTCACTGTGGGATTTTTATGATCTTCTCATCTCCTGGCTGTGCCGCTCAGAGGTGATAGGTTCTGGCCATCTGGCTTTTTTCCCCCCTCCATTGTATCGTGTGTGGGTTATACAAATTCGATATAAGATTAAATATATTCAGGTTACATCAAGAAAGGATTTCTTTATCAGTCTCTCTCTCCCTCCTTCTTCCACTGAAGAAAGGACAGATACATGGATCTGACAAGTGCCCTTCCAGCTCTCAAGAGTTCATTCCCTCCAACCGCTTAGGTTGGTTTTGGAATTCTGGGCTCCGAAGTCCACGTACCTTAAAGCTGCTTAGTTTGGGAAAACCAACCAACCACTGTTTTAGATTCGAAGGAAAACCCGATCGCCCGATTTCCAGTCTTTTTAAAGCACGCAGATCGCACCGTGCAAACCTTTTTAATGCCCTCGCCTGGAAAGCCATCCTCACAACCTCTCGGCTAGGGGTGGAGATCTACTGGTTCGGTTCGGTTCGGTTCGGTTCTATAGAACAGGTAGCTCCGAAGAGCAGCTGACACCGAACAGGTTTGCTGGGACGAGGTTTTGGTCTACTGTTTGGCCCACCCCGCCACCTAGGTTGCGTTTTCCCCCCTCAGCTGCTTTGCGCAGCTGAGTGCCGCTCGTCAGCTGGAGAAGGTAGATGCTGGAGCCGGTAGCGTATGCGCTCCCCAAACCAGTTGTTAATGCCGGTCGGATCCCAGCCCTGCTCTCGACATAGCTTGAAAAGGGGCGACTGCACCCAAACTTGGGTTCACTCTTTGGATGTAGCGAAACTGTGTGTGTGTGTGAGAGAGAGAGAGAGAATTAACCATAGAGGACCCTCTGGGGGTGTTTGGGCCTTTGCTTGCTGCTCTGTCCACACCCACTTCCGCCCCGTTGACAAGCGACGGACGGATCCTGTTCTTTGGGAGGGGGAGCGGGGGACACTCTTGGGCAATTTAAAGCGCGCGCCCTCATTTCTCACGCTTTCCCGAGTGGCTCGGCCCGGGGATGTACGTGCCGCAGGTAACCGAGCCCACCGTGGGGTGCTTCCGAGAGGGCCGCCTGAGTGTCGCCTGCCTCGCGGGTGGGGTGGAGGCCTGGCTTCGACTTGAACCCCGCTGCCTTTCCTTCCTTATAGGTGGCGATCGCGGCCGGGGGGGCCCTAGCGGCATGAGAGGAGGCCGAGGAGGGCTGATGGACCGCGGTGGGCCCGGAGGGATGTTTCGCGGCGGCCGTGGTGGAGACCGAGGCGGGTTCCGAGGAGGCCGTGGCATGGACCGAGGGGGCTTCGGAGGGGGCCGGCGAGGAGGCCCCGGGGGCCCGCCTGGACCTCTTATGGAGCAGCTAGGAGGCCGAGGCAGCAGGCGCGGAGGACCAGGGAAGATGGACAAGTAGGTCCGGGAATTTGGGGTGGCGGAGAAGGGAAAGGAGGGGGGGTTTGCGGGGGGGGGCCCGAGAGCTGCTCCTGTTCTGACCCGATTCCTTCTCTTTCCCAGGGGGGAGCACCGTCAGGACCGCAGAGACCGGCCCTATTAAGCGGCCAGGGACTCTTCCCCCTCTTTTTTTCCTTGCTGGACTGCATTTACTACCAGATTTATTTTTTAAACCAGAAAAATGTTTTAAATTTATAATTCCATATTTATAATGTTGGCTCCAACATTATGATGATTCCTTGTCTGTACTTAGTATTTTTCACTGTTTGTGGAGAAACATTAAAACAAAAGTTAAATGGGAGCGTGCCGAGTTATTCTTTATTCTTTTCCCTTTAAAAACAAAAAGCCAGAACAAAATGAAATGTGGCGGTTTAATTAAAAACTCATTTTTTTTTTGTTTGTTTTTTTAAAGCAAAGTTGTCATGAGCATGCCCAGTTAAAATTGTTTTTGGAGGTGTCAGGAGGATGGAAATTTAATGTAACCAATGTTCGTGGTTGTGATGTTTTCATTTTCATTTTTATTTTCTTAAATAAACTTCCATATGTTTGTGAATGCAACACTTTTGCAGCATGTCTTCAACACAAGCTCTGGTAGGATCGTGAGAATCTCTTTGGGTTCTCAGGAAGACATGGGGGTGGCGGCTGGCGTTTTGCAACTTCCTCCCTGGAAAATGACCCACGGCCTGGATCTCCTTCCCCGCCCGCAAGAATAAACTGCACTTACAGGCCGTTCTTGACTTAAAGCCACAACCGAGTCCAAATTTTCTGTGCTTAAAAAAGGGACTAATCCTGTGTTAAAGTGAGTTTCGTCCCATTGTACGACCTTCCTTGCCACCGTTGGTTAAGGGAATCACTGCCCTCATTAAGCCAGTCACACGGTCCTGAAGTGACTCTGGCCATCTTGTTTGCGTGTGAGATGCTCTCAAAAGGGGAATCCCATGACCTCGGGGCACTGCAACGGTCATAAATGCGAGTCTGTTGTCGAAACGTCTGAATTTGGATCCCAGAGATGCTGGAAAGGTGGTAAGTCTGAAAAACGGTTCTCGTTTCCGTTGTAAGTTCGGTCACTGAATGAACTGTTGTAAGTCGAGGACTACCTTCCCCCGACAATGCTTCCCAACAGCCATTGTTAACGTCCTGGGGACTTCAACTCCCAGAATTCCCCAGCCAATATGGCGTTTTCAAGGAAGGTCATCGGGATGGGGAGTTGCACATCGAATCTCTGGTGGGAGCCCTTCCCACAATTGGAGAAGCCGCCTCTCTGCAGCAGATGGCAGCACTTCCCAAGCTATCGCTGCCCTGTATATCCTCCCTTCCTCTCCTTTGAAACATAATAAAGTTAAAATGTTTCCGCTGCCAGATGTGTAAAGACAGAGGCTGCCTTGAATAAAAGGAGCCAACAGTTTCCAGATGCCGGATCGGAAAGTCTGCAACGTGTAATATTTGGAAGAACAAAACGAAAGAGGAAAACACCCCAGGGTGATGAATTTCAGCCTGGCGCCAGAATCTCTGCTCAAATACAGCCAGGGATTCAAGCCTAGGGATTAGAAGAACCCTCTGAGGTCATCCAATCCAAATCAAACCATCCTCGGCTGCATAACAGAATAACGGATGGGACCTTGGAGGTCTTTTAGTCCAGCCCCCCGCTCAAGCAGGAGACTATCTCATATCAGACAAGTGGCTGCCCAGTCCTTTCTTAAAAGCCTGCAGTGATGGAGCGGCCACAACTTCTGAAGGCAACTTCTGTTCCATCGGTTAATTTTTCTCATTATCCGGAAATTCCTCCTTAGTTCTAGGTTGCTTCTCTCCTTGATTAGTTTGCACCCATTGCTTCTTGTCCTGCTTTTCAGGTGCTTTGGGGAATAGCTTGACTCTCTTTTTCGGGGCAGCCCCTTCTCAAGTACTGGAAGTTGCTATCGTAGTTCTCTTTCCACCTCTTCCCAGCATTATGGACATCTTCAGAGAGCTATATCTTCACCATCGTAGTTCCAAAGTGGGATCCTTTGAGGCTGGACATTTGTGTTTCAAGTGAAAAGACTTCTTTGATGATCCATTGGATTATTTTCTTGGTTGTCCACGGTGTTCTTGCGAGTCTCCTCCAACACCATTGTTCAACGTCTTTCAGTACTCCTGCTTCAAAATCCATGGCGTGATAGTCCTTTGATCAAAGGCAAATAAACCTCGCTCTCTTTAATAAAATTAAGAATAATTTATTTGCAACAGGGAAAACTGAGCTCTGCCTCTCCCGTGGAGCTCCCATCAACGGATGAATGAGTGGCTTGACTTGTAGCCTTGGGCTAGAAAATGTACTTTCCGGCGTTTCGAGCTTTTGTGGAAATGTCGCTGCCAAATTATTTCCTAGTTTCTGGGCTTCCTTTGAATCTGGGCTGCCCCCTTCCCTGCCCTCAGCTTTTGTCCATTAATCCCATTTTTTGTTTTCGATTTTTCAAACTTTGCAGTGAGATGATGACTCCGCTAGCGACCAAGCGGAGAGGAGAGACACGAAACTCGTTAAATCTCGTAAAATCCCACTGTTGGATCGCCAGACCAAAATGATGGTCAGAATTCAAGAAAACGAGGTGTAAAAGCGAAAGTAAAACTCCAGGAAAGCCCAGATTGTGCATGGAAAAAGACCTTTTAGAAATGAAATATTTTTCTTCCCAAAGATCGCAAGATATATTCTCACAGTTTCCAGACAGTGCAATCAATTCACACAAGCTTGAATTTTTATATTTTAGGAACCATCTTAATAACTTATAATTATCCCCTCTTGGCTTTGAGTTGTTTTTTTTCCCCCACTCTCAAAGTTTTGCTGTTCAAAGACCCAAATAAACGATGGTCAGGAGGAGGTAGCTATATAAGCCTTCTTTTGTATTCCCACCAATAAAATTATATAGACATGTCCAAGGAATCACCAGAAGTCAACTTGGGCTTAAAGGAAAACTTTACATCTATTGTTTTATGGTTTATCACTTGTTTGCTTTCCTGATCTCTGTTCCTGGCCCCAGTGGAACAAACGGTCATGTTTAATCTATTGTCATAAAAAGTAAAGTTAACTTTGATCCCCGTTGCTTCTCTGTAATACATGCAGAATGTGTGTGTTGTTGTTTTTTACAAGATACCACAAAATCAGCAGAGAGGGGCTGAGATCTGGGCCAGAGAATTGGGCGGGGGGGAGAGGGGGAGTCTCCTTTTGGCCAAAAAAAATTATAGCAAATTATTTTTCTGTGACTGCCTAGAAAAAAACGATGTGGACATGTCCATTAAGCCATGTTTCTCATCCCCAACAGCTTTAAGATGTGTGGACTTCAACTCCCAGAATCCTCCAGCCAAGCGCTGAGAAATATAGGATTAAGGGCAAGAAATGCTCCCTTCCAATATCTTCATAAATTACTTAATGAGGGACTGGAAGGGAAATTTGCAGATGACACCAAGCTGACGGGAATCGCCAACATAGCCAATCCTGAGACCAAGCTCAGGATACAAAAAGACCTTGGCAGACTTGAACCATGGGCCCTATTCAACAAAACGAAACGTTCAAGTGGAGAAAAGCAAAATTTTACACCTGGGCAGGAAAAAAAAGCCATAGGTACACGCACAGAGTAGGCCGAAACCTGGCTCAAAAACAGGGACTGTGAGAAGGACCTTGGGAATCCTAAGTGGACGATCTCTTAAAACATGAGCCAGCGGGGTGTGGCAGCAGCCAAAACAAGGACAATATTTAGGGTGAAGTGACATATCCTGCCTTTAAAAAAACAAACAAAACGCATCCTGCAAACGTCCAGATAATCCACCAGGAAAGGAAAGGAAAGAAGGAAAAGAAAGGAAAGGAAAGGAAAGGAAAGATAGATTATACATGGATGGATGATAGAGATAAACATGATAAACGGATGGATGGATAGATTACACATATAGATAAGACTGATTGATGATAAGAGGATGGATGGGTAGGTAGATGATAGATATATAGAGATAGATAGGTGGATGGATGGATGGATAGAGAGACAAGAATGATTGATGATAGGTATAAATTGTAGATAGATTAATAAGAGAAATAGATGGTACTACAGATAGAAAGAACGAACAAAAAGAAAGAAAGAAATGAATGAATTCTTTATTGGCCAAACATGATTGGACACACAAGGAATTTGTCTTTGGTGCATATGCAGGAATTACAGTTGGTTTTCAGGATCTGGAGTTTTCAAAAGTTTTTCAGACCCTGGAAGCTCTTCCGTTGAAAATAAAAACAAAACCTCCAGATTTTAGGAATAGAAACTCAGTGGGGTCAGAATGGTTTTTTTTTCCCCTCTCCATTAGCCTGGCCTTTTCAGCTGGCCAGATTAAGACCCTGGGATCAGGGTGAACCGGAGCGTATTTCCAAAATCCGACGGCTCCTGAATGGTTTTCGTTGGGTCTGATGACCCCCCCACCCTGTTGCTTTTCTGTTGGTCGAATTGGGCCCTGGGCGGCTACTCATAACGTGCGCTAAAACAAACAAACAAAGTTCTCGCGGAACAAGGTTTGAAGAACTGGAAATCATGTCTGGTTGAGTAGCTTTCAATGCTTGGCTAGCTGGGCCGCTTCCCAAGTGGGCTCTCTCTCTGGTCAAGAAAAGAGGATGTAGATTTTCCTCTTTTCCACCGAGGCCCCTCCCCCTCCCTCCCTTCCCTTCCCCTCCCCTCTGTTTTCCCCTGTTTGTGTGTCCAGTGAAAATCAGGGGGTTTCCATAGCAATCTCCATCTAAAGAGGAACCGAGAAGGGCCTTAATCGGGTTCAAACAAATCTCTGTTTCAGCAGTTAATAACAGCTCTGACCTGCATGCATCCTTTGGCCCAGAGATACTGCAGGGATGCTCGGTGGTGTGAACGCCGCCGCCCCTGTGGTCTATTAACCAAGGCTGGGGTGTGGGTAAAGCCAGATCTCTGACCCCCCCACCCCCCCACACAAAGAACCACCAAGGTTCTTGAGTTTGCACAGAGTTTTTCTTAGAAGTAGCAGCCAGGGCTCTGCTTCCCTTCTCTAGAAGTCTGAATGTCATTGTAAAAAATGACAGTCAGTGGAAGGACGCCAGATACAGAATAACAGCATTGGAAGGGAGGTCGGAGGTCATCTAGTCCAACCCCCTGCCCAAGCAGAAGACCCCACCCCCCGTTTCTGACAGATGGCAGTCCGGTCTCTTCTTGAAAGCCTCCAGCTCCCACAGCTTCCGAAGGCAACTTCTGTCCCATGGAATATACTGTAGAATAACAAGAGTTGGAAGGGATCCTGTAGGTCATCTAGTCCAACCCGCCTGCCCAAGCATTAGACATCTCCAGGGTTGCTTTGATTACAGATTAACAAAGTTGGAAGGGACATTGGAGGTCATCTAGTCCAACCCCACCCCACCCCCAAAGCGGGAGACCCTACACCATTTCTGACCGATGGCAGTCCAGTCTCTTCTCGAAAGCCTCCAGTGATGAAGCTCCTGCAACTTCTGTTCCAGGGGTTGATCATTGCAGGGAAGCTTGGCTGTGTGAACGCAGCCCCTGTGGGTTTGAGGTGTGGATAGAGGCAGAG